TGACAAACCGTTAATGCAGAAGAAAACTCAGTTCAGTAGTCTCATCTATAAGTCATGGCCAGTGTTATAACAACCCACTGGCAGGCGACAGAAATTTGCCAATGTATTCGCCCAGTGGCAGGCGTCAGAATAAACCGGTCATATCAGTAAACATGTCGACATGTGCTAGCGTTACACCCACTAGCAGGGATCAGGAGTGCTAGCGTTACACCCACTAGCGGGGATCAAGGATGCTACACACCCACTAGCGGGGATCAGGAGTGCTAGCGTTACACCCACTAGCGGGGATCAAGGATGCTACACACCCACTAGCGGGGATCAGGAGTGCTATTTCTATCAATCTCCACATAACCGAACATCTCCAAATTCATTCTTATATCCCAAACTAAACCTTTAAATCCCCGTTAATCGTTAACCCTCGGGGTGTGAACAGTACCCATGAACAGTGCTCACGCCGTGAACAGTACTGCCACTTCCAAAAATTAGCAAAACCAAAGCTAATCTCACGGGATTTTTCTCCAAAATCACACAACCCAAATCAAGCTAATTTACGCTTAACCCAAGCTTAAAAACAAAGCTTAAGCTACCAAAATTCCCCATTTCTCACGGCATCACAGGGAGAGCATAACTTGGCAAATCACAACTCACACACACGGGATTTTCTCTTCAAAACATCACAACAGCCAACATAACTAATTTTCCTACATAAACCAAGCACAAAACACATTTAAAAGGGCTGCCAAATTCACCCCCTATCCCAGCAGATTCGGACAACACAGAGCATCAACTAATGGACAAAACCCAGCAATTAAATGGGTAATTTTAAGCTTGGAAAAGCCAGCAACTTACCAGAATTCCAGCCAGCAGAACCCGAGCTTGGCTGGTGAGGAAGCCGACGGGATCCAGGGGGAGGAAACTCACGGCAAACTCCAAAAATTCAAGAACCAATAACAAAATTAGAGTAACCCAAGCTAACTAAGGGAGAAAGATGAATTTCATGGCTGTGGCTTACCCGAAAAATGCCCAGAAATTCAAACCCACATAGCAGCCGGCGGACAGGGGAGAAGAGCAGAGCAGAACCGGGATTTTCTGGGTTGAGAGGGAAGATTCTAAGCCCCAAATCTTGTGATTTAACAAGAAAAGAAGAGAATTTTCATCAAGATCTCACCGGGTTTTCAAGGGAGAGAGAGTCGGTGGTTGGAGGGGTTTGGGGGGTGCTGTCGGGAAGAAGAAGAAGATGAGGAAGAGCAAGGCAGAAACGTGTATGGCTGGGAAGAAAAGGAATAAAAATATCAGCTGATCCTTATCCTAATTTCCTTTCTTTTTAGTCCCTCCACTTTTAAAATTTGACTATTAAGCCCCTCAATTTAATGCTAAAATACCCCAAAATTTTGGGATATTACACAGACATTATGTAACTTTCACATATGGATGCTTCAGGACGCTGCTTGTTTTTCACCGTCAACTTAAGACAATGCATTAGCCTGATTCACCAAGAATTATTATATAATTAAGTTAT